GGAGAGGGGTCCCAGAGCCCCGGTGGGGCTCTGGGGTGGTGGGGGGCCAACCTGCCCCCCAGTGCTCACCATGCTCTTGATGAGGCCCCTCAAGGTGCCACCCTTGATGTACTCCGTGATGAAGTTGAGCCTCTTCTCCTTGTACAGCACCCCAATGAATTTCAGCACGTTGGGGTGCTCCAGGCAGCGCATCACCTTCACCTGCAGGACCCCCCCATGCCTGTGACACCCCGAGGCACTCAGCACTCACCCGACCAGACCCACTGCTTGCGTGTTCTCCATTAAATAGGCAGGGCTGCCTGCACCCCACGGTGCCTGGCCACCCCTACTCCAGATGTCATGCCCAGCATCCCATGTCAGGGTGGGGGACGGGATCGGACAGCCCCATCCCTTGTGTCTCCCAGCGCCAACCAGGGGGATTAAAGAAAGGGGACGCTCACCTCTTTGAGAAAGGTCCTCTGCGTCTCCTCGTCAAAGCGGATCAGCTCCTTCATGACCATCACCTCGCCTGTCTCCCGATGCGTCACCTGGCAGGGAGTGCAGGGGCTGAGCCACCACTCCCACCTCTGGGAACACCCTGGGGGAAGACGATACCCCCTACTCCATCCCAGTGAGCTGAGACCCTCACGCTCGTGACACTTGTGGCCGCCCAGACCCACCTTGATGGCCTGGCCAAAGCAGCCCTTGCCCAGCACCTCGCCGTGGATCAGATCAGAGGGGCGGAAGATGCGATGGGCACGGGAGACAACACGCAATGACTCAGAGCGACCGATGTCCTTGCGTTGGGATGCAGGTGAGCCCACCGAGCCGGAGCCTGGAGACTTGTCTGTGCTGCAGCTCCTCCTGTGGGATGGATGGACAGTCAATCCCAAGGAGGGACTGCTACGGGAGAGGAGGGCGAGCTGGTGGCCTTACATGACAGTCCGCTGGCGCATGGCACCGGGCTCCCCGCAGGGCAGGGGGGCCGGGGAGCGCAGGGGGCTGCACAGGGCAGGCAGGGGACTGCAGGCAAGTCCTGACTCGTGGGCAAGAGGCTCGTGGGGGTCGTGCTCGATGGTCAGCTGGAGCAGGCGGCTGGTCTCCTGGATCAACAGGTCGATCTAGGGCAGAAAAGGATGGCAGGGGTGGTTTGAGGCGGGTGCAGTGCTGGTTTGGGGGGCACCCTGGAGGGAACATACCTCATCCAGGGGGACGTGGCTGATGGGGGTGCCGTTGATCTCCAGGATGCGGTCGCCCACATGGATGGAGTTCTTCATGTCAGGGCTGATGCAGTCTGGATCCACCCTATGGGGCCGGCAGGCAATGGGGGTCAGCCCCCCAGCTCTGACACTGCCATGGGTGGGGATACGCTGGGACACTGCCCACGAACCACCCCCAGCCAATGGGGACAGGCTATCATGTCCCCTGAGAGTCACCTCTGCAAGACAGGGACATGTTGTCATGGTACCCGAGTCACCCCTACCAGATGGGGACATGCAGGCAAGCTGCCCATGGGTCGCCCCTGCTAACTGGGGACATACAGTCAAGCTGCCCTTGTTGGATGGGGACACACGCATGCTGCCCACAAGCCACCCTTGCTTGATGGGGACATGGTGTCACAGTACCCATGAGTCACCCCTCCAGGATGGGGACACGTAGTCACGGTACCCACGAGTCACCCCTGCTAAATAGGGACATGCAGGCATGGTACCCACAGGTCACCCCTGCTAGTCGGGGACATGCAGGCATGTTGCCCATGAGTCACTCTTCCTGGATGGGGACATGCTGGCACAGTACCCACAAGCCATCCCAAGCATACGGGGACATGCCAGCCTGGTACACACAGCCCACCCTGGCAGATGGGGCAATGCCAGCATGTCACCCCCCAGCCACCATGATGGACAGGAACAGGCCAGCATGGTCCCCACAAACCACCCCAGCAGCTGGGGACACGCCACCACAGTCCCCTCTGACCACCCCCAGCTGCTAGGGACACACCAGCCCCAACCCTCACTCTCCCACCCCAGAAAGTCTCTGTGGGGTGGATCCCACCAGCAGAAGATGCGCGGGATGCCCCCACCCCCGGGGAGGGGACAGTGGCAGACGGGACACAGACGCACTCTCGGACGCGGACGGTGCGTGGGTGCTCGGTGCCGCAGCCCTGGTCAATGGAGACGGAGAAGCCACGCTTGCCATCGGAGCAGGCAGGGATGGAGACAAGCGTGACTGTGTGCGGGATGCGGGAAGCCGGCGAATCTGGCAGGATCTGCTCGATGACCGGCGTCACCACCATCTGGTAATAGCAGTGCCCGCTGTGGGGCCAAGAGGAGGTGGGTGGGTGCAAGGGGATGTGCTCCCCCCAGCCACCCACCCAGGCTGGGGCATACCAGTAGAGCTTGGAGCGTTCCACCAGTGCATAGGTGTCCCCGTCCCCGATGAACGTGCGGCAGTTGAGGCAGCTGAAGCACTCGGGGTGGTACTTCTGCTCCCCAGCCACCTGGAGGCAGATACCATCAGCCCCAGGGACCCAGGCGTCTGGGGCACCGAGCATGGGTGCCGGGGCTCAGATGGTGCTGGGAGCACCCATGGGTACACCAGAGCCAAAGGAAGGGCAGGCTGAGCCACGGGGGTGAGGGATGGTCATGCCACCGGGCTGGGGATGGCTGCGGGGACACGTCCCCACCACCCTGAGCCACCCCCTGCGATCCCCAGCCACAACATGAGGGCACGCCCCCCGCCCAGGGTTCCCGTAAAATGCAAAGCACACCCCTGCCACCCCCAGAGCCCAACCTGTGCTGGGGATCTGCACCCCCTCCGCACCTCACCCCTTTCCAGGGAGCTGAGCCGTGGGTCAGGGCTCCGTGCTGCACCCCCCGGGCCCCCCCCAGCACTCACCATGACCAGCCCCTTGGTGATCTGCTCGGAGCAGCCATGGCAGAGCTCCCCAAAGCGTGCCCAGTAATCCTTCTTGCAGTAGAGGCACCCATCCTTCTCATAGTACTGGTGGGACAGAGAGGCCCCGCACTCACAGCACCTGCGGCAGGGGATGGGGACCCCCTTGTCACCATGTCCCCATTGTCACCCTGTCCCCATCATCACCGCAGTGGGCAGCCAGTGCCCATCCACCTCATGGCTCTCTGGGCAAGCTGCTGATTCCTACCCTGCTGCAGGGCCACCACATCCATGTGTCACCATCCCCAGGGTAGCAGCAGGTGGCTCCGGGGGTGCCAGTGCAGGCTGGCTGTGCAGGGATGTGCAGGGACACTGGGGTGGACAGGGCAGGGGACACAGGGCAAGAACAGGCATGGGGAGGGATGTGCCAGCCCTGCATGGACATGCCAGCCTGGTCATGGACACACAGAGGGACATGCCAGACTGGTCACAGACATGCCACCCTGATCACAGAAATGCCAGCCCAGCACAGACACAGAGGGACGTGCCACCCAGGTCACAGACACAGCGACATGCCAGCTTGGTAACAGATGGACATGCCACCCTGGTCATGAATGTGCCAGCTTGGTTATGGACACATGGAGGCATGTGCCACCCTGGTCACATACAGAGGGACATGCCACCCGGGTCACGGACATGCCAGCTTTGGGGTTGCAACACCCTGGGTAATGCAAACGGGGTGCAGGGAGCTGCTCTGGGACTGTGAGATGGGGGTGCTGGGAAGGTGAGGTGCAGGGAAGGTGGGGTGTTGCAGGGAGGTGCAGCAGGGGGTGCAGGGGGCTGTGCAATGGGAAGGTGTGCCCAGGGGTGCAGAGAGGGTTGTGAATTTTGGGGGTGCACAGGCAGGTGCAGGGGGTGCTGCACAATGGGGTGCTGCATCAGGTTGTGCACAGGGGGTGTGGGGGCTGCTCTAGGGGGTGCAGGGGTGCTGTGCAATGGGGTGCTGCATCAGGTTGT